TTGATCGAAAGTCGCGACATAAGCTCAGATTGGACATATTTCATAATCTAAAGTGGTGCAACCGGCAGCAATTCAGGAAATTCTTGTTGCAAGCTTGGAACTTTCGTCTCGTCGATTTCGACAAACATGAGTTGATCGAAAGCCGCGACATAAAGCTAAGATTGGACATATTTCATAATTTAAAGTGCATCAGGCAGCAATTCAGGAAATTTTTGTTGCAAGCTTGGAACTCTCGTCTCGTTCATTTCGACGAACATGAGTTGATCGAAAGCCGCGACATAAAGCTAAGATTGGACATATTTCATAATCTAAAGTGCATCAAGCAGCCATTCAGGAAATTCTTGTTGCAAGCTTGGAACTCTCATCTCGTTCATTTCGACGACCTCCTAAAGTCTTGTGTGTTACTTAACGCGTAAGGTTTATTACCGAACAATAGTGAATTTCTTATTTAGAAGTGAACAATATACGTCATATGTCTTGCGCAATTGGCCCGAAATCTGATGTAACGAAATCACGGAAACTTTTCCCCTTTCCCCAGATAAATAATGCATGATTCATCTCCCGCGTTTCGCAAGAGAGCCAACTCTTCTAGGGTACTTTATTTCCCCGAGGAGGAAGCTCGGTCGGGCAATTAGCACGAGAGGACCGGCCGACCCGGCATTTTTCATTAATTAAGCCACCACCTCGATCGTAAGTTTCCATGATTTCGCCATTACCGGGGCCCCGAGTGATTCGGCAGTCGTCAGCGGGTCTTCCGGTAAACGGGACATCCCGTTGGCCTCGTCGGGCACGGCGGGCGATATCGCTCGTAAATAATCGGCCATCGACTATGCAAATGATCGGCCGGTAGGCCGATCGACTGCCACACATTGTGACGATTTTACGAGCCTCGAGATGTCGCCGGGGACCGGATAGAGCTAACGAGCGTAGCTCTGCACTTGTCGGTTGTCGCCGCTAACGGCGCCGCTTCTGATAGCGGAAATCAGCTGAGCACGCTCGAAACACGTCCCTTCCCAATATCTCTTATCACCTTCCCCTTTCTCGGCTCATCCCGCGAAAGGGACCGCCGATGATACCACTTTGGACCCCCGAGATAATAAAAAATGGCTACATCTTCATTTCTACATTAATGTAAAATGCACTTCGAGATAAGACACTTTTTTAGAGGGTGTAAAATAAAACCCGGTACACCGGTTTACTCCGGCGAAAGGGAGTATATATGGAAAAGAAGTAAAATCCACCGATGGCTCTCTTCGCGAGAATCTTCAGGAATTATTGATAAGATATAATTTCACTTCACTCGCGACTTACACCTTTGATACCCGGCTAATCACCATATCAAGGACCTGCATACATGCCGCCTCCTTGCAGATGGAAATTTTTAAAAAGCACTATCTGTCGATGGGACTCTGAATTATGTATTAGAAATTTAAGCGATGGACTTGGACAAGCGTGTAGGAATTTCAACGTGAACTTTTCCGCGGGTAGTGCGGCGTAATTATTGTAGAATTACCGTGTCTCGTCGTAGCGAAGACGAGGCCCGGGTTTGGGCGCGGCGAATGGCGGCCATCTAACGCGTTAAGAGGATTATTTATTGGAAATATTGGACCCGGGTAAGGGAGGGAGAGACCGCGAACGATTAGCATACTAATGTCCTCGCGGCCGCGGGTGCGAAATTCGCGCGCCGTTGCGCTAATCTATTATTATTAAATTATCCCCGAGGCGGGCCGACGATTATCATTTATCAATATCGCGTCCGCGAGTACTCGACCGGTAATACCTCGTTGAGCGTAGGGCGCGTAATGATATTAAGTGCGTACGTGATATTAGGTAGATACCGATCGGTTTCTCATGATAGATCTGCGACCTTTTGCGACTCGTTTTCATACCCGGATTAACGCGATTGCGTGCCGAGACTTTATTCTTTCCCGGAGAGTCGTCTCGCCAGTAAATACCGCTGATAAATGGAAATCGCGCATGACTTTACCTCCTCGCTGATTAAAACAACATGCGCGCGGTGCCGATTAGGAATTTTATATAAATATTGCGTGTCGAAAGCGGGATCCAGCAGTTTTTTCTTTTCCAACTAATGCAACGTCATGGTGAAAACCCTCCGCATTTTTAATAACCCCTAAATGCAATTAATCTTCTCGAGAATTGCCAATGGGAATTTTTAGAGATGTAATTTATCTCTCTTTCCTTTACACCGTTAATACATACTGTAGTTATTGAAGATTTTATAAACATATGTTATGAAATTTATAACGTAGGTTGTACATTTCGTACATAAATATTAGGCGTAAGGAAAAGTTCTGTCGTTTTTCATATTTTCTAAAGAAGTGTACGTGTTCAAATAATGACAGAACTTTCCCTTACACCTAATACATCAACTTTCTTACACGAAATCAGAAAATTGCACTGCCACGTTACGTTATGAATTTAAGAAATCTTTCCTAATGCACATTTAGGGCGCGAAATTAATAATTTCACTACAACTTTACGTGTTAAAAGTGCAGAAATTTTGTGAATACCATTAATAACATATTTCCCGGAGAGGTTGCGTTATCTCACGTCGGCATATAAGAAGTATGCCGATTATTGTTACATGGCATATATGTATTTTTAGGAATCTGTAAAGCTTTTAAGCTACACGCGCGATTTTCATGTCAGGCACATGAAGTCTCGACGACGACGGTATATCTCGTTCACGGCGGCCAAAAAGTGGAGGAATTCTCTAAAATTACGCGCCGCTCTGGTCGGTCCTTTCTTTTTACTCCTCTTTCCGAATCATATCGCGAATAGATTGGCGATTTCTCCGCCAAGTGGAAGAAATAGAGCGAGGGTTCGGCGGTGACATCCACATATAATGCCATCTCTACGAGCCGCAAACCTGTCTATCCGGGCGGCTTCGGGGCGCATCATTTACCCCGGAGCTCCCGGGGGATTTTTCAGCGGAAAAGAATCCCGGGAGCCCGTAACATATATAATAGATAATATCGAGACGTGGGTGCGCGCGATTTGATGGGCCGAAATAAGCTCCCCGAGGTTTACGCTCCTCGTGGAGCCGAGCCGAGAGAAGTCAGGAGGGGCCGTAAATTCCCGACTCGGCGGACCTCCTACTCGCGGTAACTTACCGTCCTCCGGTAATTTACGACGGAAGTGTCTCGAGATCGCATCGACGCATTGTTCCCGCAATGTTCCCCTCGTAATTGCGTGCCGCCTTCCGTTTCAGAACTCGTAACCCCCCGGAACACCGCCCTTGGGCGCCGAAGAGAAGGCTTCATCGGCGGCGATACCCCTTATCACGGACCCTAAGTCAGGCAACGAGACACCTTCGACTCCCTCGCGATCCCCCCACCTCGAAGATAATTTCCCACATCGCCAGGTAATTTTCAACGTGACCGATAGTTCCGCGCATCCGGTCGTTCTAATTAGCCGGTAATGGTCCTTTAACTCTCTTTGGAAATATATCTCTCCCCTCACGCTTTTATTTTAACGCCTCCTCAAATTCTTGCCTAAAAGAAATCTTTTCTACATTTTTCTTCTCACTTCTCAACGATATCCCCTCCGCGTTAACCCTTTAGCCACTATTTAACTTTCTGCAGAGAGTAAAACCTGATTTTTATCGCCACGTGGAGTCATCTCTTTCTTCCTCGGGATTGGGGTTGTAAAAGCGAGCTGGGGAGTGATTAAGGTGCAGGGGTTTGCAGAAGTGCCGCCAATCCCCGAAAGCGTCGCGGTGATAACGCGACCGTGATAACGCGCCTCCATAACGCGAAGGGTTTATCGCGACGCGCGTCGCGATGTCAACGACGTCTCCGACTTACTACGGTTCTAGTCGGGCTTGGGCCTCTTTAATGACATGCTAATTACGCGACGGCGGTTTATGCTGATTATCCGGCCGGACATCGTAATTATCATTTCAGTCGTCATTCGCGACAATGACTCGCGGGGGTCGCGTGGGCGAGTCCACGAGAACGCCGATGATTGCACCGGCGCGGGTCGCGAAGATAAGCCGATAAGCCGATATAGATCGAAAGTGGCTCGCCATTGATTTCGCCAAGTCGTAAGCAAATTCGTAGATAAATCCCTTTATGCAATAAAAAGAATTCGGTTCATTGGAGAAAATCGTTTGACTGCATTTAATAAATTTCAGAAGACGTTTCGATTGGATTAACCGAATCTTAATTCTTGATCAAGTTGTTTTCTTAATCTTAGAAAATATTCCTCAGATTTAAATCCCGTCATCTTTGATTTGCATTGACTTATCATTTTCTTAAACTCTCTTTCGTGGCAAGTTAACGAAAATTAACTTGTGGGATATTTAGAAATCCTGGAAGTACTCGTGATCGATTACAGTGACGTTTTGTCAATGTTTTACGGGAGATGCAGTACCGGAATGAAGGGTGTCGATCGCGCACGTGGTATCGATGAGCCGATCATCGATCGATCGGTGGATCAATGGATAACGCGCGGGTATGCGGAAAATGGCGTGACTCGAGATAATCGCGGATCGTCGTACGATCGTCACGTTCCCGATCGGCTTAACGTGGACAGTTGCACTGTCATACTGTTGTCAACTTGAGAATTTAATCTTGAGTCGGTTAATTAACGAGAAAGATAATAAATGCAATTATTTAGACATCTTCAGATTAATTATCTGAAATTTTAATTGCGATTCTTTTCCAGCGTGGAGATAAACGAGATAAAATAAATACAATCATTTAGGTATCGTTAGGCTAATGGGCTGAAATTTCAATTGCGATTCTTTTCAGAACGCAGAGATAAACGAGAGATAATGAATGCAGTTGTTTGGACATCATCAGGATAATAGTAATAATTTTAATCGGGATTTTTTTTTTTTCGAGCCCGGAGATAAACGAGAAAAAATAAATGCATTTATTTAGAAATCATTGGGGTAATTGTCTGGAATTTTAATTGCGATCTCTTTCGGCGCATGTATAAAGATGGAGGATTAAGAAGATCTAAAGATCACTTACCGCGACGAGGGTGCTGAGAGCTTCAATTCGCATAGTAGCTGGCCAGGCCAGCGAAAAGGCCGAAAGTTCGATGCGCGTCGATCGGCAATCAAGCTTCGATCGCAGCGACGATGACGATCGATCGACGATGGAGCTATCCGAATCGATGATCCGGATCTCCCGGCTGCGCGGCGATTTCTCGCGATCCTCCGCCGTGTCGATCTGGTGACATGGTTACTGCAAAAAGCTGCAAAAAAATCGACCAATTAATTAAGACGAACGCGCTGATAAATGAAAAAAATTAGTAGATCGCCAAAAGTCCGCAAGACCACTCAACAGTCACTAAGAGTGATTCCTCCACTCTCGTTGACGAATTTCAAAACCTTCTTCCGTGCTCCTCGTTAATTATATATAAAAAAAAATATATATATATGAAAAGGGAGGAGGAACGATAGAAAGGCATAAGTCTAGAAAACCCGTAATCATCCGATGACTAGGAAAAAACGGCATTGTTCAATGAGTTTTTTTTTTCTCGGCGGTAAAAAATGTTGAGACGCCTGTTAATTTAATGGCCCACTTCTTACCGTTTGTCCACGAGGTAATTGCACCGCCGCCGTCGAGGCCCCAGCACGCGAATTATTCATTCTCGGCCGAGGGGAGTTTCATTTTCTTTTTATCTCTATTTAATATGGAGGGATCTGAGATTCCAAGCCGCGTCAGGTGAGCTGTCACCTCTTAGGATTCTGTCTGAATTTTTCCGCACAAGTTCGTCGGATCTCCCGCGGATTTCCGCGATCGGCTCGCGCATGAAACCGGTCGAGTGCATCCGCGTGCACCGTACCGGTGCATAGTGCATTGCTCGACGAGAGGCGCCTCGTCGCAGCTTTAATGTCATATCGCGAGGCGTTAATTCCACCTTGAAGAGAAAGCTGGCTTATGCGAGTCGCTTAAGTACAACCACCTGCGAGAGGACTCGCGCGAACCGATTCGCCGGCGCTCGCGAGGACGAGGACGATAAGCGTTATCACGGCGCGACATGTCGCGGTCGACTGAGAGGACTCTTGGTTTCGGTGCCTATAGATCGATCGCGCCCCCTGAATTGATTGGGGGGTTAATTCGTCATCGAGACTTGCCGGCGAGTGATAAGATATGGATATGATATGGTGCAATTGATTTGCACATCTCGTCCAGAAATGATTTGGACGGTGTCGACGCGTAGATTCTCATTTCTCGTCATCACTTCCTTGATTTTCATTCGACGGAATTTTAATCACCGTCGATCTTGATTAATCAATGAATAATAATATCAACAATCGATAACGGGTTAACTAGGGCCCTTGAAAATGGCCCCCTTGGGATGAATCGAAATACCTTGGACGTTAGATCATGTGGTGTCGTCATTGCCCGATATCTTATCACGGCACTTCAGATGCATCGATCGATTCCATCGGGAGTGACTGACCTACCTAAAGATGTAATGACTCATGTGGGATTCTTTCCGGCGCTACGAAACCAAAAGGGTGTTCTCCAAGAGTTACATTTTTTTTTTTCACTCGATGAAAAATATATGTCAAACCGTGTCTTCATTCTTTTTTTATTAACGAAAAATGCTCGATCGTCGGTGCAGAATTAACATACTCGGTAGAGTCTCGCGCCAAATGCATAATTATTATTTAGCGGTTTATAGATAGTATCGTAGAATTTTATCACCTGTAGATCGTTTCATGGTGATGATCGATCCAAACGATCGATCCAAACTGGACCGACCACATGACGGAAAGGATCTCAGATTGAAATTTCCTGAAGTCTCTTTGATGTTTCCTGGTGTCACAAACTTCCGGTTTGGTTAGTCGCGTGACTGGTCACAAGTGAGACCACATTTCGCCGTGACGTAAAAAGTAATCGCCAGGGCTCCTCGATGCCGGTTTCCCAGCATGGCGCACCTCGCGAGGCGAGTTCTGCGCACCCGGGGTCATTAATAATGAATTAATGACTCACGGGGAATCATCGATTGGTCGGGTCCTCGACACAAGCGACGCCTCTTGCTGCTGCAACACGCCTTCCAACGCGATTCTAATGACTCCTTGATCCTGACGTCATGGAACGAGTCAGTTGATTTCCCATTAATCATTTCTTCGGGTCGTTGCATAATTTTAGATACCATAATGATGATTAAACATTTCACTCCCAGTTAAGGGGACGTGAAAGTGCCATCCGAGGAGTCAATTGTTCATGGCACTTTTGTACAAACTTTTACCGAATCGTTTCAAACTTTATAAAGTGAACGTGGAGGCTATACGGAAGGTCCTGACCTCCATGAAATTTCATTGCTATGCGAATTTTAAAAATCGTCCGTAAAGAAATTTTTAAAAAATTGAAATTTGATGGGTATCGAGACCTTCCTTACAGCCTCCATTTTCACATTGTCAAGTTTCAATCGATTTGGTACGACCACTTCGGAGAAATGTTTCATACGTCAGCTTAACAATTAAAGGTGTTCTTAAATTAAATGAAATCGGCGAAATTGATCAGAAAGTTCGATTTTATCGAAAGTTAAGTTTTACCAGCGCAGGTGGACGTCGATGTAGAGTTCGCGATACCACGAAGCGAAATAATTATATATATAATTAACATAGTTAATAATTGCAGGCATTCTTGAAACACGTGGAATTAGTGAAACCGGTCGGGAGGATCAAGAGGCTTCGCAGAAATTTCCTTCATTTTTAAGTGAAAATGTAATTAGTCGTTTTAATTTTTTTCAGAGAATATGTATGTGACAATTTTTGGGATTCGTTAATGATGCTGCAGTGGCGCGAGAATCGGGCAAAATGACGTATAAACGAATCGCAGTCGATTCGATATCGACTCCAGAGAATGGCGCAGCTTGCTCGACCAGTCCAGCATACTTGGGATCATTAATAATGAATTAATGGCTCCCGGGAAATCATCGATTGGTCGAGCTTCGGTACAAGCGACGCCTCTCGCCTCGGCTGCACGCCTTCTAACAAACTTCTAATGAAGGCTCTGCAGACCGTGACCATCAGCTCTTCTTATCAATAATTCTGAATAAACAGGTACTCTCTATGCCTCCCATTTTCGCCTGAATCACATCACTCTTCCCACCGAGCTAATAATATACACCTATATCACTTATCAATAATTTCCATTTTCCATTGCAGAACTTGACCAGAGTACCGAATAAACACAAAATAGCGGAATTCAGCTATTATACACATAAAACTAATGAAAATAGGGTGGTAGGGTTAAAATTAAACGTTTATCCCCCCAGGTTTTTTCCCCCACGTTAAATATACATTTAAGAAACGTTGAATTTACGGGTTAAGTTTCCAAAGCGTTTATCCCTAGTAGAGAAGAAACGTCTACTCCAACATAACGTTTTAACGTATAATAAACGTTTTGGAACGATTATTTTACGTATAGACTACATTTAAACGTAGTTCGTGTTGCGCGACTGAGACGATAGCTTAAACGTAGACTAGACGTTATATCAACGTTTCTCGCGGAAAAGGCCGACCTTAGACCGTGTAAAAGACCTTTATTTGCAGCACATCTTGTGGTCGGTTGATAATTTGCGCTTGGTTAATTATTGTTCCTGCCTTTTATAGGGCTGGTTAGATGACTTGAAATCATTTTCACGAGGCCACGGACGAAGCCGTTCGACCAGACGAGGGCGCGAGAATCGATCGTCGCGGCCAGCCGATAACAGCTCCTCGTCCTCGGATGATCGATAACGAATTAATGACCGGAGGGATATATCATCGATTCGTCGGATCTCCGATAGCAGTGACGCCTCTCGCATTAGCTCAGCACGCCTTCTATCGGACTTCTAATGGACGCCGCTCGGCCGGCGGTTCTTATCACGATGCGACCGATAAATTATCCCCGAGAGTCGCGCCTTGATAAATAATCATATGCAGAAGGCGGTCCACCGCTTTCCATTGTAAGTGGATACTTCTGTCCTCAGCCGGCGACTATCTACGGATGGCTCTCTCGTTAGATCACCCGGTCGGTGCCTTCTTGTGCAACGCCTTTGTTCCTCGTTTTCAGGCGAATAACGCTTACTATACGGCTACTACGCGGGAAGAGGCGCCATTGACGAGGAGGAAGCGCGATGTCGTTGCATTAATTCATTTCGAGCGGTCGCCGCATACATGCATCCATTAACGGCGACAATGTTGCGGTTACGAGGTCGCGGCGTGTGCGAAATGTCAATGGAGACGGGGTCACTTCAGGATAGTGATATAAGAAGTTCGCGTTGACATTGATATGAGTTCAGGGTACTTTTTTTCTACAGGGACGATTGCAGAATCGTCGAATACATGTCCGAAAATGTTTCTCAAAAGATTTATGTAACCTATTATATGTGTAAGTAATTATGACTACGTCGAAAACGACGCAACAGGATTCGGTAATACCGCAATTTAATTTCATACGTCATAACGTGTCCGTATGAAGCTGTTAAATCGATCGGACTTGACGTCACTTTTTTCTTCCTGCTAAACAAATTCTCAAGTTACACAATTCGAATAGTGATATATAGAAAAATGACGCTACTGAATTAGGTAACGTTGCAATGTAATTTCATACATCATGGTATGACGTCCATATAAGGCGGTTACAAGGGGGTATTCGCTCAGGAAATGATGAATTTGAACACTCGAAATCGCTGTTAGAATTATAAGGCCGACCGTCACTTGTCACCGAATCGTATCATTGTTTTTTGGATGAAATGAACGGCAATCGGCTCACGAGGAAGTAAATCATTATCACTGGTTCCTGAATGAACAGGCCCTCGGGCAGTTACATCGATTAAATTGCGCCTCCCCTTTTTTAGGTACAATACTTCCGAAGGGATCGTGAAATTTCATTCGAGAAGGTGAAGAGAATCCATGTCGAGGAGAAAAGCCGAAGAGATACGTCGAGGCCCGGAGGAGAGGTGGAGGCGAAGTCGCGTTCCCGACGGCGGAGTATCAGCGATCGGTCGATCTTCTGCCTCGCAGGGGTTTAAATCACGGGAGCCACCGCGAAAGAATATCGAAATCCGCGACAACTCGCTCTTGTAGTCCGCAAAAAGTCCCCAGGAGTCCGGGGGCGTTCTGACCGGTCGAGTTTGCCAGACGCTCGCCGAGGTTAGGGGACGGCGGGCATAAATCACGGGTTTCTCTTTCCGACAAGCCGCTGACACTTTTACGGCTCAATCTTCGCGTTACCATCGGCTCCTGTCAT